TCCCCCTGAGAGCCCCCCACCCCAGAAAGCTGATGGATCGGAACAATACTTTGATACCCTTTGAATGTGCGGACCTCCGCCCAGCCTCTTTCAGGAGATCCGCGGGGGGGCTTGGAAAAGAAGGCTCACACATCTGCCAGCTGCTGTGCTGGGGAGGGTGAGGGTGGAAAGGTGGAATGAGCCTCCATTCGGCCACCCCGCCCCACCCACCCCCACGGTCCAGCTGAATAGATAGCAGGCTGATCCTCCTAAGCGGCTTCTGCCCCAAAGCCAAGGGGTGGGGTGGTGGCCGAGCGGGCGAGCGTGGGGGGCTGGCAAAGCTTGACTCTCTAATAGGATTAGAAGGGCGCTCCAGAGGTCTCGGCGGCATTAGGGGAGCGAAGTTGGGCGGACAGCCAGCAGAGGCCCCCAGTGGGTCTCCAGCGCGGCTGCCCCACATCCCTCAAGAAGGAGGAGGACCACTGTGGCCATTGCTGCCCCAGTGAGAGAGCAGCCCAGGGGATCAGCCCAAGGGCCGGTGGCAAAAGGTCAGAGAAGGTTGAGAGGAGCCTCCCCCCCCCCCGCCGGCCCTCTTCCCACAGAGGCCAGTTCCAAGAGGGGCCGAGCGGCCAGAAGGAAGAGGGGCCCTGGGCCGTGCCGAGCATCACTGGGCCATCCGGAGCACTCAAGACTATACTGCTAGGAGTGGAGAGGCTCTCCTTTGGTGTATGTGTGTGTGTGTGTGCGTGTGCGTGTATGCAGAAACAAAGCAGGATCAGGCCTGCTTAGTCCTTGAATGGGGGAATCATGAAGGGACAGCAGGGATCTGCAGGAAGAGCTGGAAGAAACCCTCGGGGACTGCAGCTGCCGGCCAGAGCTGGCAAGACGGGGTCAAAGGGACGAAGGGTCTCACTTGAGAAGAAGGCGGGTTCCTCCCTTCCTCACATGGACCCTGCTCCCTGTTCCGACACACAGGGGACACCCACGCTGGAGGAAGATATCTTCTTACAGATCCGGGGCGGGGGGGAGCTTCTGGCCCTTGGTCCAAATCCCCCCTACATCCTATGGACTCAGCCTTGTGGCCGTGGCCTCTGAGGCAGGGCACGATCCTCGGATGGTCTTCCGACATTTAAAACAGGTTGCCCTTTCTTAAATGCCTCCCCGTGGCTGAGCTACTACTTGGCCACACGGCCTTTCCGCTAATGTATGAACGTTGGTGTCCTTCACCCAGCAACTTTGCCTTTCGCAGCAGCCCCCCCCCCGGCCCCTTCCTGGAGTGAAACCTCCAAGCATTCCTCTGAAATAAAGCAAGCTGGCAGACTGAAAGAAAGGCTCGACCAAGCAAGGGGGGGGTTCCTAACCCTGGGTTTTTCTTAGATGACAACTCCAGCAAAGCCTTCTCCACTCGCTGCGCTGGCCAGGATTTCTGGGAGTTGTAGTCCAAGAACATCTGGGGACCCAACGTTGGGAAGCCCGGGGATAGAGGAAGCAGCTGTCACATCCTGGGATGTTCACAGGCAAAGGAGTTTTCTTAAGAATGGGCCTTATTAGGGTTTCCTTTTGACGCAAGGGTGCGTGGCTTTCCCGAAGAGAGGTGTTGATGACATGGGTGGCCCCCTTTAATAGCCAGAATGGGCCAGGATCGAACCCGGCCAGCTTTCTCATCTACTTTTGTTGTTATTATTGTTGTTTAGTCCTTAAGTCATGTCCAACTCTTTGTGACCCAAATGGTCCAGAGCACGCAGGCCTTCCTGTCTTCCACGGCCTCCCGGAGTTGGATCAAAGTCATGTTGGTCACTTCGATGACACTGTCCATCCATCTCTTCCTCTGTTGTCCCCTTCTCCTCTTGCCTTCACACTTTCCCAACATCAGGGACTTTTCCAGGGAGTCCTCTTCTCATGAGATGGCCAAAGTACGGGAGCCTCAGCTTCAGGATCTGTCCTTCCAGGGAGCACTCAGGGTTGGTTTCCTTCAGAACGGATAGGTTTGTTCTCCATGAAGCGGTCTTCTACTTTAAGATCACGAATTAGCTGAAACGTACATTGGACCAACCTGGCATTGAGTGCCAGCCTGAGCAGATCCGGTGGTCGGCTTGGAAGGTCAGCGCGATTCTGCCCGCTGGGAGGAGGAACTCCAGCATGGGATGGATATAAAACATCTGGAGCATTCACTCCTGTGATGGCCTGCCCCCCCTCCCAACGTCCTATCTCCCCCACCCATTGTCACAGATATAACCTCGCTCCCAATCTCATCCAAGATTAGACAACAACCAGGACTTCCCTCCCTCCCTCCCTCAGATGCCAAGTTTATCCGCCTAGGTCCCCTTCAGATGTGAGAGAAGGGTGGGCGGGTGGGAGCATGGATCCAGACACCACATACAAAAATAGGACAGTAACCCTATAGAACGACGTCTCCCTGAGAGGCACCCCTGATTCCTTCTAATCCAACTTCAGCTATATAAATAAAAATTAAATAAACTGAGTAATCAACTTACTAATAAGAAGAAGAACAGCAGCAGCAACTAGAAACAAGAACCTTGCTTTTCGAAAGACTGGTTCTGGATTTTGCCCCCAGTTGTGGTCCTTTGTGGCCTCCGACACCGGCATCCCCGCTTCTCACGCTCGGGTTTTCGACCCATGGCAAGGGCTTGGATCCGTGCGACGCCACGTGAGGCCAGGGCAGCTTCGATTTGCTGTGCTGAGTCGAACGCCACTATCTTTCTCTTTGTAACACTGACCCATTATATATTTATGGCCGGCGTCCTTGCAGGGCCCTGCGTTTAGCGGGATGGCGCTCGTTCCTCAGTCTGCTCCAGTGACTGGCTGCTGACCCTTTGCTTGTGTTTCAGTGACATTAAACATTAAATGGCTCTCCTACATGCTGACCACCGCCGGAGAGTGACTGCCCTTGCCTTTTGGAGAGGAGAGAAACCGCTCAGGCTGGCATCCTGCCCATCCTGACCTGCTCCCCTTTCTCACAGGAGACGTGCCTTTCAACTCTTGTCATTAACCCGCAAAATGATCTTAAAATTAATTTGCCAGAAAGCGATCCTCCATGTTAAGGAAACAAGAGAGTCAAACAGTGTGTTCCAGACTGCAGGTTATTAGAAGAAGGAATCGAGATGGACTGTTCCTAACGATGGAGGTTCCTTGGACTCCAGGCTTGGAAATAGCTACCCACACCACTTACCCACTGCAAACAAAGGAACACTATCTGCAGAAATATTTTGGAATGACCAAGTTGGACTCTCCCCCCCACCCCGCCCTTTCCTTCTCCCTCCCTGTTGAGCACGAAAAGGAATACTTAAAAAAAATTAGTTACAGTCACAGTTCCAAATGCCCAGCGTACCTAATTACAATTATGGTTTCACGTTTCTAACATCAACTATTTATTAGGGCTTGAATAAGCATCTTTTTTACAACTCTCAGAACCCTCTAGTCAACATTTTGGAGCTGCAGTGTTTTTTTAAAATCCAGGTTTTGATCTTTATGTTGTTATTACTGGAGAGTAATTAAGCAGTTACTTCTAGTTACTTTTAAAAATCAGGATGCTACAAGCTACTAGCCTGTACCTTTAGTGACATGTCTGTAATGAGGCTGTGGACACGTGGCAATAAAATCAACAGCTGTTGCTCTGCAAAAGGAGTGAGGTCACTCCTTATGCTACAACCTTGGTGATAGGAATTACGCAGAAGTAACTCCTTGGCTAAAATCCTGTAGCACGGCTATACTGGCAGAAGGGGCAATAGTGTCTCTTACAGCGACCAGTTGATGCTAGGAACCGAAATGGCGAGTCATTAACCAGCAGCAATTTTCTGCTGTGAGGGAGGCTGTTGACTTTCTGCTGATGCAACTACGCAAGAGAATTGTGGCCGTTGTTTGTAAATGGCTACTCCCAAGTTCTCTTTTCCCTATCCATAAAGTGGGAATCATACTGTTCTCTCTTGCAAGGTAGTAAAAGAGCAGGCGAGAGCATCTTTGAGGGGCTCAGGAGCCTGTTTTCTGCCCCCAGACGACCTCATTGGCTCTCAAAACCCAAGTCACTAAAATGAAACCGAAGGTGGCAGAAAGTGAAGCTCTCCTTTACTCTATTAAAAAGTATTCTGGGGTGTTAGGGGAGGCCTGCGACCTATTTGGAAGGGGAAGAGCCATTCCAGGAGTTGCAGTTTACCAAGCTTGCTTGGGGGGGGGGTGTTGCGTGGCGCTCCATACTCATGCTTTGCCCACCCCAGGTTTGGAGAACCAGCACAATGAGTGACGTGCTCCACAAATTAAGAGGGTTCCCTATCTGGTGGCACCATTGTCTAAATGCTCCAGTGTTCGAATGAACTCAGGTGGTGATGGACCTTCTGAGACCTCAGTGTCCTGCATGCGCTCTCTCTCTCTCTCTCTCTCTTACCCACCTGAACAATTGCCTTCAGGCCGGCCACTTCCAGGACTTGCCCGCTCCGCCGAGTGCCGTTGGGGAGGGTGAAATTGACGATCTCAGCATACTGGGCGAACTGCAAGGAGGAACGAATGCAAAGCCACTGTCAGAAAAATGCCAGGAGGACCATTCCTGTAGCTTTCCCCAAACAGCAGAAACATTCGGCTTAAGTAATGCGGAAATTTGTGCATGTTTATATTCCCTTCGCTTCAGCACATCTGTCTAGAATTGCCCTTCACATCTGAATTTTTGTGTGCAACTTCCCCTGGCATGCACCTCTTTGCATGCAATTTCCCCCCAAGACACGCATTCTTGATGTTTGATGCTGTTTTTCAAGCTGAGGACGGCATGTCTGCCTTCCGTGAACACGCAACTCAAGGGGAGACTGAGCCACAATCTCTTGGGTTAAAATTTCAGCTGGTTCTCCTGGACATAGGGGTGAAACAAATTTCTCTCCCATGATTCCTAACCCGAGTGCACATTCTGCTGAAAACAAAAGATGTAACCGGGCAGGGCGTAACACAGGATTTGGAAAAAGTTACTAGGGGGAGCAGGGGAACTACACCTCCCAGCACCCCTCCAGCCGGTATGGCTACACCGCAAACACGGAGTTAAACCCAGGGTCTTCCTTGCCAAAACACCCCCTTTCTCTGCAGCCTGAACTTTGGACTTTAAGCTTTGCCACTAAGGGGATTTTGAGAAACAGCAAACTCCCAATTGCTGTGATCCGGCTCCTTAACTGATCTTATTAATCCCCCTGCTGCACGTATCGGAATGAAAGGCGCTATAGAATTGGTGCACGGCCATCCGCGCTACCTAACAAAGTGTATTTTAATTCCTCTTGTAACACATTCTTCTTGGCTGGGACATGGAATGCTTGCGTTTAATTGGCAACATCATGGCCCACTTGCAGATCTGTCAGTCCGGCTGCTTTCGAGGCAGCTGACGCCAGAAATTAGGTCCATTCTACTTTCCTACTGTTTTTCGCTCCAAGCCTAAACAGATTTATGTGGAAGTAAGCCCCTTTGATTTTAATGGAACATGTTTCCCAGAAAATATGATTGCCCTCCATCCACCCCAGCGCCTTCTGCTAGGGTCCTTTGCGGTAATCAGTGGAGCTTAGCTATAGGATAACTCAATAAAACCTCTATGGACCAAAGCAGAGTACCTCTGGGGTCCAGGTGCCATGGATAAAGAACAGAGGAACATTCATTTTCAGATCTCATGACTTGGGCATGACCCTGAGCCGCCTGGCTATTGGGCGCAAGGGACATATATGCGAAAACACAATAAAAACCAGAAAGTTTAAAAGAGACAAAAGCATGGCAGCACTTTAAAGACTAACTTGTATCTTTTATCTTTTTGTTTTCAACGTGAGCTTTGAAGGACAAATCCACTTCATCAGACGCAAGAGGAGATACAACATGGCAAATATTTATAGATGGCATCAAAGTATGGTTCAAAAATGCTCTGCTCCCAATGCAAGACTTTTATTATGTTCTCCGGCCTTATTTAAGTAGGACTTCCCACTGAGCTTCCAAAAGACACCTCTGAGCTAGTGATTAGTTTTTGAACCAAGAGGTACCAGGATCGATAGAACAGCAACAGGCATAAGTCGAATCTGACAGAACACGCAGAAGGGGTTCTTCTGAAAGTGCTCAGGAATTTGAAGCTCGCCCAAGGCTACGCAGGCTGGCTTTTCTCACAGGAGGCCCACTGGGGACTCTTCACTTCGGACCGTGTCCCAAACTCACTGAGCTCCATAGACGTGCTGTTACTCAGCTCAATCCAGAATGACGGCGATCCTTTGCATAGTTTCCTAGATCAAGAGAACTCTAGGACCGTGTCCCAAACTCACTGAGCTCCATGGACCTGTTACTCAGCTCAATCCAGAATGACGGTGATCCTTTGCATAGTTTCCTAGATCGAGAGAATGTGTATAGGGGTGAGGGGAGCACTTTACTGCAGAGCCAGAGCTGGGAGTTGGATTCTGTGCCTCCCAGGGAGAAAAGCCAGCACCTCTAGGGGGAGCCCTGGGACGGTGCAGCTGGCCCAAGGCCACCCAGGCTGGCTCTTCTCCCAAGAGGCATCATGGGGGTGGCGTGGGGATGAGAAACTGAATTAAATACCTAACTCACTGAATAATCCAGTCAGCTTCAGGTTCAACCTGCTCCCCCCCTCCTCCTGTGAAGGTCTTCTGCTTTAAATACCTTTCCACATCCTTGATGAAAAGGTGAGGTTTCTGAAAGTGCTCAGGAATTTGAAGCTCGCTCAAGGCTACGCAGGCTGGCTTTTCTCACAGGAGGCCCACTGGGGACTCTTCACTTCGGACCGTGTCCCAAACTCACTGAGCTCCATGGACCTGTTACTCAGCTCAATCCAGAATGACGGTGATCCTTTGCATAGTTTCCTAGATCGAGAGAACTCCGTAGGGGTTTACTATTCCCTTCCTCTAGGGGGAGCCCTGGGACGGTGCACAGGAGTCCCAGGGCAGCCCCAGATAAGAAGGGAATGGGAAATACTTCTGAGTAGGAGCTCAGAAGAGCACCACAGCATTTACCATCACTTGCCCTGCAGAATTTCTCTCTCTCATTCTCTTATGTCTTATGGGGGAACGAAGGAAGGAAGGAGACAGTCTGGTGAGAGAACCCAAAAGAAATTTCCATGGATTATCAGAAGCAAATATTTTTTTTCCCCTTGGCCTAGTTCTTACTCCTCAGTAAGCATACATAGAAGCATAAGCAAAAGATTAATACATAGGATTAAGAACATGTAAAGGAGGATATAGCCTGAAACGGTCTTTTTCACACTCCAGGACAAAAAACAACAGGCAGACTTTCAGTCGCATCGCTCTAACGGCCTCTCCATTTGACCAGCGAAAACGGCCATTTTTCACCTCCTAGAGAAACCCTCGGAGGCTTTGCACTCTTCCTTCCTAATCAATCATAATGCAAGGGTCTTCGAACTCATTCTGCATCAAGCAAGCTATGGTCTAGCCCTCTGGGTTATCGCTGGACTACAAGTCCCATCAGCCAGGAGGAGTGATGGGAGGTGTAGTCCAACAACATCTGGAGGGCTCCCAAGTGCCAATACACCCTGGTCTAAATAAACTCCATATCCGTTCAAAGCATCCAGCTACTTTATTCCGAAGCTCTAAATGGGCCATATTCAATCATCCCTCGCCCTCCAAAGATAATCGGGGAGAATACTTGATGGACAGCTCCCAACACCACCTATCCGGCCGCAGGAATGGGAAAACACAGGAAGATTATGAATAGAAGATGACCACACTTTACTTCCGTCTGTCTGTAGAATTTGGAGGTTTTTTTTGGATGGTGCTATTCCAGGGGAGGGGGAGGGCATTTCATCTGGTAATATGGCAAAATCTTATAAAAATGCAGCATTGGGAAAATTTCTTTTCTGACAGCCTTGCTGGTTGGGCTTTTTTTGCAGGCCAAAAACTGTAACTCTCCTAAGCTCTAAGGGGTGATCCCTGAGAAAGGCCTCTGTCTCTCTTGCCCTCCGATTCGGGAGATTTAAAGAAGCGTGTGAGCCTGTGGCCACCAGAGGTCGCCCCGCCAAACCAGGCATCCTTGGCAGGGCTAAGAAGCAGAGATGCTCAAGGACGCCTCCCCCCCCCCCCAAGGGTTGGCGAGTTATGCTCCTTGGATGCAGTCGAGCCCTTTGAGGGCCTGGATTCTGACTTTACTCTCGTGGGAAATCTCAAGGAAAACTCATCTGAGCCCAAAAGGATGCCCCTCTGGATTTACACCCAGGAGCTGAAGCACCAGAAGAGCCTTCACGGAAAATTTGCCGATAGCAGAAATGTTCGGCATGACCAGAACCTTTGGCGAAAGGTGTCTCATGTTAGAGCGACGGTTGGGAAGGAAGGAAAGGTGGGGGAAACGTGGGATTCAGCTTGATCAGCCTTCCCCCCCACCCCATTAATTGGCCTTGCACACACACCCCTTGTGAGCCATGGTCACTGTTATAGCTTAACTACATTAAATACCGCCCATGAATCATACTTCTGCCCTAGTTCTTGTTGATCTGTTTCACTGAGTTATTTTTTGCAAGGAAGCAAGGAAACATTTTAAGCCCTTCTATGGAAAAGCGTGGACAATTTGTGGTACTCCCATAGGTTGCACTGAGGGCAGCTGAGACCCCGTGGCAGATCTGGGCCCTCTGAAAGCGCTGGAAAAGGATGGGCCATCCTGTCTCATGGCCGTCTGCCCAGTTCATTGGACCTGCGCACAAGCATTCCTTTATTTTAGCTCCTTAAACTATGCTTACCTGCCCTTTCTCCTTAACAAAAAGGATCCAAGGTGGCTTACCTCATTAAACACATCATAGATTAAGAACAAAAACACAGTAAATTATCCAAATAATTTTTTTAAAAAAAGAATTAAACATACTCAAAAAGTTAGGTAAAAGCATTACATTGCTACTAGCTGCCTGTCTTGTTGTGTTTGTTTATGATGAGTTGATTGTTTTATAGCAATTTCATTTTTGGAATAGTGAAAAGGTTTTAATATAAAGGAGTTTAAAATGAAAAACAGAAATTATCCCATACCTTCACATTGTCCAGAACCACCAGTGGGCCGTTCACGCCACTCACCGTCCAGTAGGCTGTGGGAAAAGAAAAGATGATGAGGAACAAAGACGTGGGATACGAGATATCATGAGGACTAGAAGAATGAGGAGAAGAGCACAGGGATAGGGCACATCTGTTTTGGAGTCTTGCCTGGCATCATTGCTCCAATGTCTGTAGGCAAAGTTGTTAGTTTAAAACACCCGAATGGAAAGTCCTGTAGCTTTTGTACATTAATTCCATCTGCTCCCATCTCCTTTCTAGGAAACTGCTCTCTGGGGTGCAAGGAATAGTAATCAGTTTGTCCCAAATGACTACAGTATTTTAAACTTTCCTTTGCAAAAGCAGCTTGGTCTTGTGTGCCTTTGGCTTTGCTGATTGCCATTCTGTGAAACCTTGGCTTTATTTTAAGTGCCCCCCAAATGAATTTCCCTTTCTCTCATGTCAGAGGCTTGTTTCCCCATGTGGAAGAAGAGACAGCTTTTTTTTAAAAAAAGAAAGCTGCCTTTTAAAATTATACATTTCCAAGAGATCTGTTCCTTATGTCTACATGAACCCACAGAAAATAATCCCTAAATGTTTATAGGATGGAAATTCATAGTTCGATGGTCAATAAACAAAATCTGTTATAAATATATTGAATGGATATCCTTTTAACCCCATTTATAATACTACATTAGTTTTGTTAAATATCCTGAAGTCCTTTACCCACTCGTATAAATCTAATAAAGTGGAGGAACTAAAACATTTTCCCCTACAAAAAAGGGACATGTCTGCAGCAATTAACAAACAGGCAACTAATTTCAAAACTTTCTGGTGAAAATATTTTAATCTTTAATATAACCCAGAAGTTAAACTTTAGGAATCTGTTTAAAATCCTGTTATATTTCTGTTATATTAATCAAACCTGCCACCATAAGGTACCTGCTACAGAACACAATAAAAAAAATAATGGAATGGATTCAAGCCTACGGCTTGATGTCTTCAATGTGTACATCTTTGCAACCCTAAATCTTACTTACATATGAAGGTGACAAATGCTGTCTGTACATATGTTTATAAACATTCTTTCTAATGTTTGTTGGTATGAAATGTTTTACAGTATCATGCAAAGTAACCCTCCCTTCTGTATCTTTTCCCTAGTTTTGTAGAAACTGGAAACACTGTGCTTTGAATGTCAAGTTCTCAACATGTATCTTCTCTGCAATTTTTCCAATGAAGGCCATATCGATCATTAATTTGTCACCGAACACAAAGCTCTACATTTTTTTTGTAAGAGAGAAGTAAATAAGGGGGAGTGATTTTGTTTGAAGAACATCCTTTGGAAATTGGTAGATTCTGTGGTTCTGCATAACAAGACCACCTTTCTGTCTGAATAGTTTCCTCTCTGTGTGTAGATAGATAGATAGATAGATAGATAGATAGATAGATAGATAGATAGATAGATAGATAGATAGATAGATAGATAGATAGATAGATAGATAGATAGATAGATAGATAGATAGATAGATAGATTTTTCTTCTTCAGGAGACTTCTCTCCGACATGCCATGGAGATGGAGGATCAGGAGGAAGAAACACCATGAAGAGAGGGCAGAACAGCTTGCACACACCCGTCCTTTCCCTCTGGAGATGACAGCCTCTTTGGGAAACTGGTCGGCCACTAGGGAAACCGGCCACTGTTCTTCTCTGGTCTGACTCCGCTTTCAGGCTTTCCAGATGTCCCTTACACTCCATACAGGACTTCCAAAGAGCAGCCATGCAACTGTTCCACTGCAAAACCCTCCCGGACTCCCCCTCGTCTGCTATGGGTGCGACACGTTTTATGTGCTCTCCCCAGGAAACCGTGGGGTTCTTCGGAGTGCTCCAAATCCCCACTCGAGGTCCGCTCCCCAGTGTCCCCCGCCTGCTGGCTTCCATTAAAGCGGGCTGAGCTTTGGCCACTGCCGGCTCCCCTCCCCCCCGCGCCCCATCCCGCGCGGGCCACATCTCGTTGCGTCAACTCCATTAGGCCTGACACGTCCAGCCACCATTTCTGTAAAGGTCGTGACCTCCCCAGTAGGCCACAGCGAGGCCAGCCTGCTCGGGCTCACACATCTGTGCGCCGAGGCCCAGCTTGCCCCCGCTGTGAGGGGAGCAGAGGGCAGGGGGGACCGGGGCTTGTGTGTGTGTGCCCCACTTAGGCCTCTTTTGTTGTCGTCAATTTCCCTCGGGTTGCCTCTGGGGAGGAGCGGGTATTTCTCCAAATTTTTTTTTGCTTTTCTAGTCTTTTTTTTTTTAAAGGGGAAAAATGCAACCACTGATGTTTATTTGGGCAAAATACCTGCCTGACCACGAGGGACCCTCCCCGGTCCACCCCATCACACTGATTACAAACATGTGCACATAACGCCCATCTGCAGCATCGGCATCAGCAGCACTAACAAGGGCCCCCTCATGGATTGCATTGGCTAATGTGTAATTAACATGGGGCGATGGTTCCTGGTCACTCTCTATGCAGGCGTGTGCATGCATGCACACACACACACATACACACACACACACAGAGGTCTTTTCAATGCTACTTTCAGTTTGGGTGCAGCAAAGATGCCTGATCAGTCATCATGCTGGTCTTCCATTCTTCCAAATCATGGCTCCCTAAAAACACTTTGGAAAACACAGGGGCACCTTGTCAGTCCAAAGCCCGCCTCATCCTGCATCAATCTAGAAGAACCTCAGGAAGGGCCACTTCGGGGTCCAGGGGACAGAAGGAGCTTCTGGGCCGCAGCTGACCTTCTGCTCGCTTTCGAGTGTGAGATGCCCAGTCCAAACAGTCTGGTCTCTTCATCTGTTTGTCCCGTTCCCCCCTCTCTCTCTCTTCCTCCCCCCTCCCTCGGGGTTTTCTCCAGGGACCTCTGTGTGACGTCCCTCCTTCTCCTTCTCCCCACGTTATCCTCCCAAGGACCCTGTGGCGTAAGGCCAGGAGAAGGGGACGCCATGACTAGCCCCAGGCCACCCAGGGAGCATCCTATAAAGGAAGGGCTTGCACTCATGAATGCTAATCCAGCGCTCTAACTGCTATACCTCCTTGCTTCCAGACAATGCAACGGGCCACTCACAGCCCACATGGATCAGAACCAGGATCAATGGCCGGGCTCAGCCCGAATTATCCGTTCAAATGATTGCCCAGAAAATGTGCCAAGGGGGTGGTGGCGGAAGGGAAACCTTGCCAGGTGGGAGGCAAAGGGTGCCGGGGGGGCAGCCTTGCCCCTTGGGGTGAACCGGAGAGAATGAAAGTGGGAGGTTTCTATTTTATTTCATCATAAAGGAACAGAAGAGGAAAGGAAGGGGAGATGGAGACCCCTAGACCGGAACACCTCCTCGATTCAGATCATTAAGGGGCTGAGGCACTTCTGGAAAAGAAAAAGGGCATTTTCGTCTTCCTTAGCCCGGCCGGGTGGGTGGCCTGGGGGGGTTCCTCGGTGGAGGTGAGGGGAGTCAGAGGGAGAGGGGAAAAGGTGGCGGAAAAGCTGTTGGGCAGAAGGGTTGATTCTGTGAATTTTTTTTTAAAAAAGAGAGAGACAAGAAAAGACAAGAAAAGAAAGAGAAGGAGGGAGAAGGGGGCAGTGCCTCTGTGTGTGTGTCACACACCGGCAGACACAGAGGCCTTTGAGAGCAGCCTCTGGCCGGCCTGCGATTCCCTCAAATTCACAGCTCCCCATCATTGGCAATCTGAATTAACCCTGACAATTGTGTACTATTAACTCCCATGGGGCAGGAGGGAGAGGGGGGGGAGCAGGAGGGGAAGGCCCAGGGAGCAGAGGAAATTGACCGTGCTGACAAAAGGGGACAACCAGCCCAACGACACCCACTCGCTAATTGCTTCCACTCCGCCAGCCCCCCCTTCCTTTCCCTTCCTCAGGCATCTGTGGGGTGGGGGTCCCCCCTACTTAGACAGGCTTAAGGGATCCTCTGCAAACTCTGTGCTTCCCCCCTCCCCCAAGAGCATCCGCTTTCTGCCCTCAGGGCCTGATCCAGAACCCATGGACAGAGGTTTCACACTGCATTTTGTTGCATCTAAATCTGTTTTGGTGATGCTTACTTTTAATATTCAGATTGCACTCTTTTTAGCTTTAATACTGTGTTTCAATGATGTAAGCTGCCTTGGATCCTTTCTTGGGAGGAAGGTGGGGTAAAAATATTTTGAATTTCCT